AGGAAAATATAATTTCATAATGCAAAAGGTGAATTTCACATTTTAAGAGAGATTCAAGAAATCGAAATGGATTCATATACCTATCCTTCCAATCTTCATTCCCGAACGAGCAAGGGCTCTGAGAGCAGACTGAGCACCAGGGCCAGGAGTCTTGGTCTTGTTGCCACCAGTGGCACGGAGCTTAATGTGAAGGGCAGTGATACCAAGTTCCTGATATATTTCAATATATCAGTCAGATTATATACATAATTTCTGTAAACTAGTGTTGGTATTGTGTTAGAATGGACAAATTTCCTTTTCCAAGTTTTTGTTAAGAGAAAAAAATGACCTTGCATCTCTGAGAAACATCCTGTGCCGCAAGCATAGCCGCATATGGAGAGGATTCATCTCTGTCAGCCTTCACCTTCATTCCACCTAAAATCTCGGAGAAAAATAGGTTTACTCAAAAAATTTCAGCATGTATGAAGACTCCCCCGTATGGACGAGAAATAATAAAGATCCAGATATTATAGGATCCACATACAACGAATCCCAAACGAGAAAGGGTGTGATGGAAACTCAAACAGGAAATCAAAATCTCATGTATATGAAAAGCATGAACCACACTTCAAGATATCAGTTCATCTCTTTTGCACAAGAATTTCTGTTTTTTCAAAATCTAATCCCAAAGAAATCTCATGAAATCAGACACATACAATCCACCTCAACCCTCATCCCTAATTCTGAAAATATATTTTAGAACTAAAAACTGGAAACCAACGTTTAATAGCTCTCCAGGTATTGTAGTATCAACAGAGGACCACCCATCACATAGTCATCACATCAATCTCTAGGGTTCACAACATATGGCAAACACAACTTTCTAGGAGACAACACACTTATTAGATTTTGACGAAGTTCAACACAAACTTACAATGTAAAAACAAAGTATAAAACGAAACTATGGAAAATGAAACACATAAGCAAGGTATACTATAATCATATAAGTTAAACCAAATAATAATACCTGTAATGCGGACCATGGTTTCCCTTCCAGACAAGTCAGTAACATGCTGCAAAAAAAAAAGCATTTCATTAAGTTCCGATCTTTCATTGACATACATGGAATCTTGAGTTACAAACTCATATACTCACAATGAAAGTATCATTGAAGGAGGCAAATATGTGGGCAACACCAAACACAAGCTCTCCCTCCCTAGTGGCAGGCCCTAGGGTAACATTCTCTTCCTTGGGTTCCCTTGTTCTTCTCTTCGACTAGAACATACATGTCGAAATAAAAGATTAAATACAAGAAAGAAAATATAAAGGAATAAGAAACGGCAAATGATAGACAAAATTAGATCATGGACCCTGCTTAAACATGATCTACAGACACACACAAAAAAAAGTTTCACAATCAAGGACACAGTGTTGAATTAGTGAAGAATATGAGCGACACCATTATTCTACAAAATTAGATGGGATTAGTCAATATCACAACTGTATGAGACCAGCTTACATTCTACAGTTCCATTACATTCTATTACTGTTTCATCCTAAAAACTTCGAATAAATATAAAGCATGGAGACGCAGATAGAAGTCCAATTGACAAGAACAAAGTAAACAAAATTTGCATCGAAAATACAACACAGCACAAAATAAAACAAATACATAAGAGTCGAGCTACACTAAGAGTCCAGCTTAGCATTATACATTTCCATCACACAAATTTTCCATCCCTAAAAGCTTCGAATAAAGCACAATCCACAGAGACGTAGGTAGGATAATTCATTCACTAAGATCAAACAACACACAATCCACATCGAATATAAAACAACCCAGCACAAAATAAAACATACTCAGGTTAACATCATACCCTAAGTGACTCAGGTTAACATCATACATTTCCATCACACCAATTTTTCATCCGTAAAAACGTCGAATAGATCATAGCCCGCGATCAAAAAACACACAATCCGCATCGAAAAGTATAAAAACCCATAAAAAAACATTTGTCAGACTTAAGCTAGAACTATCAACACGTGTAATCATTAACCATTTGCAAATGATGGACATATAATTTCAGATCAATACCATGGTGCGAGCGATTGAGATAGCAAAATGAACTCAGCTGCCTCTGGACTGGAAAAACCCTAATGCACGGAGATTTTGGTGGAGAGAAGCAGATGAGGAGAGCGTGTGATGATTAAGCTTGGTACTTATAGCTAGGGTTCAGAACGCTGTGATATTTTTTAAATACCAGAAATGCCCTGTGGACTATTGAGATGTCTTGATGGGTCCTAACTCAAATAAACGGAAAATTGTAGTGTAGAATCAATTTACACTATCGGCCCAGTCCCAAGGATGATCCATTTCTGGCCCAAACCACTAGAAAAATAAATGGCGCTTTTACAAGTTCACAAAATCCTAAAATTATTTGCACATCTATACTTATATTAAAAGGTATCACATTTATCAGATTTAACATAAAGAAAAGTCAAAGGTAATTAATGTTTGTTGGAAATAGAATGACATTAATTACAGATTTGTTTTGGTATTTATAGCTTGACATTAAAGATTTGTTATGGGATAAAAATCAGAACCGATTTTTTTACCTTTACTGGAAAAGTCATGTAAGTATAGATTTATTTTATTCCATAACATTGATTTAGTTAAAATAATCTTATAAAATTGGTTTTAATGTCAAGCCTATAAATAAAGATTTAATGGGTTTTAATAAAGCAGATTTAATCGGTTTTAATAATTGCATAGAATTTCAAAACTGTTATTTATTGTAAAAGAATTAAATTCTAAAAAAATATTTGTGTATATTTTGTAAAATGTTTGTACAAAATGTTTTACTTTAAATTTATTTACATAATTTAAATTAATTACATTAATAAATAATATGAACATACATTAAATATTTTAATTACATAAAACAAAAAGAAGAAGAAGATTACATCTATAACTTATAATAATAATGACATTATACTACAATAAATTTTATAATGAAATAATATAAGTATTATACGAGGAACAAGATTACGTAAAATTGTTATTTTTCTTATATCAATGAATAAATATATATAATGAAATTAAATTTATATTATTATAAACATGTGAGCGAGATAATATATTAATTAATTTACGGGCTAGCGCTACCAGACTCAGGTTTAATGTTCCGACAAAAAAAATGATGTTGATGAAAAGATGTAAAAAGATAGATGATCAAACTCTATTATTTTTTAGGCCTGAACGGACAAGCACTATGGTCCACTCATTTAATATCTCTCGTGAATCGCACGAGCTACTTAACGGACAAGTTCTGTGGAAATAACTCATTAATACTTATGTCCGGTGCATCGCAAGGGCTACGTGCTAGTATATATAATAAGAATTAACATTAATCAATTTTAGAAAGTTTTTCCCTCCAAAATCATTAATTACATACTATAAAATGCATCTTAAAGCACGTTTTAATTATAAACCAATTGAATACATTAAATGCATTCTAACAATTTTTGCCTTGAAAAGCGAATATTTTTAGGGTATGAATAGCTCTTAGTTTATCAAATTGGTTAGCAGATTTGTTGTTTACATTTCATGTGGATTTTTTCATGGTAAGAATAGCTGTTATTTCATCAAACTAGTGCGTAGTCCGTACGATGCACTATAAATAATATTAAATAATATATAAATTAAAAATGTGGGTTTACCTCATCTTGAATGTTATAAGAAAAAATTTATATAGTAGATACATAATACATACAAAATAAATATTGAGATGAAATATATAATTACGCAAATATTACAACAAACTTTTTTTTTCTTCTAAAAAAAAGTATGCATAAACTTATCGATTTAAATTTAAAATTGAATACTACATTTAATGTTGGTTTTTTCTATTACTATTTGTAGTACGTATTTGATTTTTTTGCGGGAATTTATTTCCTGCTATAAATTTATTTTTTAAGGATAGCAGTTGAAATGTTGTTCACAATATCTGTAGAGCATGGAATTAGTTATGTATCAATCAAATCTTTTTGTTTTTTCCTCAAAATGATTTCAGAATATTTTGCTTACTAATTTTGAAATAAAAGAAACTGAGTTTTCTGAGAAAATTCATTTTAAAAATTGGTTATAACAATCTAAAATTTCAAATATATTAGTATTTTAATTTTCATTTGTTTCGAAAACACTCTTCTTCTTAAAAAAAAGATATATGTCATATAGTATTTTAATTTTTTTAGTTTCATTTGATGTAAATCTTGGAATTTTTCGAGTACTATATTCAAACATTATGATAGTGATAATGTTATACTATATTAGTTTTAACAAATTTATTGTTACCGAGAATCATGGTAAGCCGCATTATGGTTGGAAATATATTGATGTGNTTTGTGCTGTTTTTTTGTTTTTTTGTAACTCGCATTGACAATGTATATAATTGGTTTTTGGTGATGATAAGCATTGCATAATGGATATTTATAAGCAGCACGACTAAGTGATGATAAGCATTGCATAGAATATTTATTTTTTTCTAAAGATAACATATTCAATTGATTTGTTGAAAATTTTATCCATATAATTTCTCTATAGATAAGAAGCCAAATCCCTTAGTTTTAGAAACTTAAATTTTGAATGTACGTAATATACGGGTTGTATTTGTTTATATGATTTAAATTTACAGTTTTCAATTTTTGAATATTTATTACTTGCATATAAAAAATCTATAAATAATTACTATTAATAGATTGCAATTAATATTGGCGGGTTTTTTTGCTACTATTTATGGTAAATAGTAATTCTTATTATAGGTAGGGGCAGAGGGAATTTCCGGTGGAGCGGATATATAGATATAGATTAGTCAGCAGATTTCTTAATTACATTTCGAAATGAGATTAAACTTTTATTTTTGGTTAAATTTTTTAAATGAGTTTCGAGTACTAGATTGAATTTATAATTAATTGCTTTTGGAAAAATTCTGATACATGATCCTTTATTTATGTCATAGCGATTTGTGTGGTAAAAATTTGATTTACATGGTATGCTATTCATATATATCATTTGGAAAACTGCTTGCTATTCATATTATGATTAGGAAAACTAAATCTATTGTATAACGAAAAAAAATAATTTAAAAAATCACATTTCCAATCGATGTTAAAAATGAAAATGCTGAAACAAAATAGATAATCAAAAATCCATATTATCACAAGTCAATACATATTTATATTTATATATATTTACCTGCTGATAAACATAGTATTTTATCACGTCAATGCATATTATTACAAGTCGACATACAAACACACGCGCACACACACACACACACACATATATATATATATATATAAAAGTTTGTATTTACTTGGAATAAAAACTAAAATCCCGTCTAAAAAATTTAAAACTACTAAAATTAGTAATATTTTTTTAAAATTTGCAAAAATCACGACTCTAGAAGTTAATTAAGAAATTTATGTATAAAATTGACAAAATTAATAAATTTGATTTTTGCATAAAGTGAGCGATTTTATTTGATGTATCTAAAGAACATTTTTATTTTTGGTAGGAAATGTGTTATTAATAAATGTTGGAATATATGGTATGAAGTAAGCGGTTTTATTTTGGTATAAAAGGTCCATATTTAAATAGTATGAATTTTATTTGGGATGGATAAAAGTGCATTTGAACATTTTGAAAATAAAATGAACTATATAAATTTTATTTGGTATGAGTATGAAAGTCAAATTTTAGGTTGATTTCTTATAAAATCAAGGTATATGATTCTCAAATTTTAGCATATTTCAATAATTTATAAATATATATATATATATATATATACATATATAATAAGATTTAACATTTACCAAAAATAGTAGCAAAAAAATAGGTCAGAATTTAATGCAGCCTATAAATAATAAGTTTTATTATTTTTATTATTTTTTTCTTTAAAAATCATACAACATTAAATGTTGTCTTAAATTTCGATCTTTAGTTTATTTTATTATTTAAAAAATCCGGCTAAGATTTATTAATTGTGTATATTTTTATTTTTATTTTTTTCTTAGAAACAACGAAAACATTAAAATCTCAGTCTTTATACTTATAAAATCTCAATTCGAAATATAACAAAAGTTTTAGAATCTCGGTATTTATATTTGTGTCTTAAAAAACTATTGAACGCTAAAAATATTCTTTAAATTGCATAATCAATCAATTAATCTTAATTTTTTTGAAAATTACAATATTTATTTTTTATTAATATGAATAAAGTAAAAATAATTAATTTATCTTTAGATATATAATTTATATTCTTAATATACTATCATTTGGTGTAGACATTTATTATGTGAATCATAATATATTTTTATTTCATAAAATTAAATATATTTAAAGAAAATAAGAAAATTTCTTCGGATCAATCGTGCGATTGAATTAGGCTACTGCCCTGGTTGATTGAATTACTTTGAGGTGATATTTAAAATAGTCAAAAAGCTTGACACAACTTGGTTGGTCCCAGGTGACTAAGTTATGTATCAGTTCGACTACACCAAATCGTTTATTGAACCTAAATATAAATTTTATATCGAAAAATATTTTATTACGTGAATGTGATGTAGTCCAAATTTCAAATAATCGTATTAACAATATTTTTATGACAACATGTTTAATGATTTATGAATATTTTTTATATATCATTTTATTAGTATTTATGTGAATTAAATAATATTTACTATAATATTTATTAATGTGCAGTAAATATAAGGTTTTCAAAACTGGACCGTCATCGAAATGATCAAGCTACTTTATTAAATCATTTGTGGTTAGTTCAGATTATATATATATATATATATATATATATATATATATATATATATAT